TTGAAGTTAAATACTTTGAAACTTTATTGCATGTGCAATGGGACAAGAGCATTGCACAAGAGCTTTAACAAATCTACTATAAAATGCTTTTTACTACATTATGCAAGTACTCTTTACTGCAAACAAGTACTCTTAGCTGAAATATAAAAAGGGATATTTCGCTTATATTGCAATAAAAATAGCCTATATGTATACGCTCTTGCCCCGTTTACGAACTTACCTCGCTTCACCTTAAAAATTTTATTGTACCCAAATCCATTTGCCTCACTTTTAAGATTAATGAATTATTGTAATAGTTAAATAAACGGATAACATTTTAATTGTTAAATTATTCCTTTTCTTATTTTCTTTGAATCATTTTGATTCGAGTCTTCATATTCAGATTTTGACTCCAAGATTTATCGTTTATTACCAATTTTCACGAGTTCTATTTCTAAACATAAAAGAATAATAAAATTCCTTGGAAATGAAGATTTTATTTGAGTGTCGTTATTACCCAGTAAGGTATTTTTATTGTCTTACTATTATGTACCAGCTTTCAGATTCATCACAGTTAGAATTTTCGTTGCAATCATTCTTAACCATATTTCCTTTTACTGAAACAAACCACAATTCGTAATTACTTTTCAAACAACAGCGAAATTGTAAAAGAATTTTGTGCACCGATATTAAAACAAGATCATGTCGACATTGTTGTGTACTTATGAGAAACTGAATTAGAACTTGTAAGTTGGTAATAATAATCAGCATTGATACCTACGTAGACCTAAGCACACCTTCGCTTATATTGAGGTAACTATTGCGGCTATTATAGTATTGTTATAGTATCGCGGCTATTAGTCGAATTTGCCGGGGCTAAATTGTACCGTAATTAGGCTAAAAATTTTCACATAAGGCAACCTTACACCATTTTCAAAATAGCATATTTCCAATATTGTCAATTACCCAAACTTCCACCGCCCAAATGTTAGGGAACTTGAATTATTTCGACTACAGATTACAAATAAAATTATATTAAGTTTTATCTATTATTATCATTATCTTCGCTTTTTCAAAAATAGACTTGCTCCAGTTTCAAAATAAACTCGTATTTGTAATTTTCAAATAAGAGTGAAATTGTTAAGGAGCTTTATGTACCGATACTGATACCAAACCCTGTCGACTTCGTCGAGTATTTATTAGAAACTGAACTAGAACTTGCAATCTGATCATAGAAATCATCATACCTAGACAGAGCTACCCATCCTCACTCACATCGAGGTTACATATACCAACATTATGCTCATATCATTATATTATTACATTACACTATAATTGAAGACGCACTGATATCGTATCAGCTATCTCACTGCTGCGAACATGGAAACATGTGCAAAAGCTTCCGGTTAGGTGTACGACACAATAGGAAGTTTCTCTTTCGCGAGGGTAGCGATTACACGCATGTAACCGGAGAAAAGAGAAACCTGAAAATCTATCTTTGGCAGCAGTCTTGTTCGTAATCTTCGTTATCAACAGCTGTGACGAACACTTTCACACGATAAGGGGTCAGCAGCCGTGACGGAGAGCAATTAACTTTAAACGACGCGGCCTTCTTAGCAAACTAGAACGAGATATGATTTCACTGGTCATTTTTCCAGATCCTGTACACTTCTGGCCCTGAACTTCTCTACCTGCTAACACATTGTCTGGTAATTTTATGGAGACGTGTCGCTATTATTTTGTAATATGAAGGTGAAATAATTCAAATAAATTTCTTTGTGTAAACTTTAGTTATTCTTTAACAATTTTATTAACCCATAACTTTCTGAAGTTTAATTGTGAATATCGACCGGTGAATCCAACTATTTCTCATTATACTTCGATTTGCAAGTTTTTAACTGTTTTTAAATGCTACAATGACGTGTAAATAAGAATATTAAAGTTATTCGAAACAATCTTTATTCAGCGCAGAAGTAATATAATTTTGAACAGAATATTTACATTAATTATAATTGAGTAATGTGGATTAGTATATCGGTGGTGCTTGAACGTTAACACTTGAAGTGTTGGGGATTAACCCTTTGTATTCAGAATGTGACACATGCAGCGTTCAGCTGAACACAATGAATTGAGATAAATATTTTTTAACAACATATATAGTATCGAACATGAGTCATATAGTGAGGCAACATCGATAATAATTAATGATAGAAAAGTAATAATCATGAGAGTCTATGAAAATTTACAATTCGACAGTTTTTGAAGGTACTATAAACGAAAAAATACTTTTGAACAGGTTAACACTAAACTGACATGTAATGCACACTTATTGTTAGTTTGAAATTAAAAATGAAGTTAAAAAATAAATACACGTGGACTGCCATGTTAAGGCAATTGGAAATTTGATTAGGTAGAATTTTAACTGTTATTTTATTAAATATTTTCACAAATTTTATTAAATATTTTCACAACATTTTGTTATTTATATTACTCGCAGTTTGATATTTTTATTACTCATAATTTGTCATATTTTAAGATATTTCTTACTCATAGTTATATTTATTACTTAATGTTTATTGCATTTATTACTCAAAGATTGTCATATTTATTATTCATAGTTGCAAATAATTAATACGAGTATTTTAAACTAAACGAGATCAAATTCTGAATAATATAGATCAGCTTTTTTTAAACTATGGGTCACGACACCGAACGAGGTCATAAAGCAAAATGGGGTTGCGAAAATTTAATTCGGATATACAAAATTAGAAAAACCGTATTATTAAAACGTGCTTTTCTTTTACTACTTTTGTAAATTTGAAACGTATCTAAAACAATTTTTTATGTGTATATTGTTTACCAAAGAAATAGATTATTTGAAAATGTTTTTATACCTCTATTTTATATTGACATCAAGACATGCGAAACAATTTCAATGATCTTTTCATGAATGAAAAAATGTGTTAATGTACACAGTATTTGATTTTGATGAAAATTAACATAGATTTACAAAGAAATGAGCAAATTTTGTAACTCACCCCTTAACGGTCACGCTGGAATATGAAACGATTCCAACCAATTGAGCTTCGATTTTAGCCACTTTATATTCTAAAAATCTGAATAAATACATTTCCTGGAACCCTGGTATTTTTACTACTTTTTCCTCAAACTATATCTCAAGATTGTTCAACTAAAATTTTAGCTTTTCGTATTAAAATCAGAAAAAGTTTTGAATATTTCTGTGAAGAACGATATTTTTTCAATGTTTGACGTTTTTGAATTTGTTTTTATTCAATGTCTAAATTCACTGAAAGCTGTTAAAACAACTTTTGATGATTATTTATAATTTTGTTTTCAAGTTAAAATAATGAGTAGCCACTTTGTAGGAAATATTTTTCCCAGTGTGACGTTATGTTATTCTGACGATGTTAAAGATTAAACTAATAGTTAAATTATTAAACTTTTATCAGTTAGATTACTAATTGTTGACATTAATCCAATTGATATATTGCTAAATTATTAAGTGTCTCCACCTAAAACTTAAATTCGACTTAAGGTGAAATGGGGTAAGTTCGTAAACGAGGCAAGTCGTATACCGACTATTTTTATTACAATATGAGCGAAATTTCTCCATTTAGTATGTTTGTTTCTTTGTTTTGTTTCAATATATCCCCTTTTATATAGAGTACTTGCATAATGCTGCAAAAAGCATTTTATAGCAGATTTGTTAATAATTCTGCTCTTGCCCCATAGCACATGATATAAAGTTTCAAAGTATTTAACTTCAAGTTACGCTCTTATCCCATTTTGGGGGAAAATGCAGAGATGTCGAGATTTTAAACAATTTCCTATCATAATCAAAATGTACAAGGAAAATTAAGGTTTCTGTTAATATTAATTAAATAGTAGTAATTGTACGAAGCGTTCGATATCGACAGCGTTAAGTATTTACATTGCAGACTGAAAATACTTACGTTTAAATACCAACTTCACAGAAACCAGTCTGCACTTACCCTACTTCACCTTATGCCAAATGAAACGGGGTGGAGATTTCGACGCGGTAAATGTAAATGTATTCAACAGAATGTATGGCGATCGGCAAACAATGCTTTATACCTTCATCTGTCCTTTATTTGGAGCTCATTTGTCCTTTATTTGGAGCTTATTTACAAGAAATACAGTAATTATGTATAGCGGAAACCCTTCGTTTTCAATAATTTTCACGTATGTTGTTAAGGACATCCTATTGAAACGTATGTTACCGTTTTTACTATATATCTCTTAAACTATTGATTTGAGGAAAAAGTGTTACGAATAAAACATGAAGCTTTTAAAAAGCTCTACAAGAAATGTTATATACATTTTTTGTAAAATTATTATTTTAACCGATGTAACATATAAAATAATTTGGGGGTGTGTTATATTGCGTAATTACTAGAATTATGTTACAAAGTTTGCTATTTTTGTTGAACTTTTTATTTGTTTGCAATTTGTAATAAGTATAAGTTAATATTTTTCCTGTAACACATTTACGAGTAATTGATTTGTAATAATTTTGATATCCACACATTCATATTCTCTTGTAATAAATAATTTATTTTCTTATCAATTATTTACACTAATCATTTCTGTAATACTTTCAAAATATATTTTCAGTATTCTAACGTTGATGTAAACACTTCGAAACACTCCTGATGTTCACGTTTTCACATTACCTCGAATAACACAATACTTAAATTGTCCGAAATCACGAATAGTATGATTTAAAATTACGACAACCCTCAAATAACATGGAATTTGAAGCCGCGAATATTACTGAGGGTCACTGATTGTCAGTGGACAATGTCCTAATTAAGTTTATTGAAGAAATGAGCAATACACATATACAATGGCTGAGTTGAGTAGAAAAGAACCTGATTACAGGAAATGCCTGGTTTCGAATAATGGAACCTATTAACCTCATTATTTGAGGGTAGCTCACTTTCCATTCAAGTAAATAAATTTTTTGTTTCTTGTTGCAGCCTAAGCGAATGTTATTTCGCTGGCAAGGGCGCGGCCCTGGTTCTACCCCCGAACGAAAGGGCCAGGCCCTCGAGAAGGGTCTCCACGGCAGGATGCGACATTCAACAACACTTACAGTCCATGTTCTACCTGCTCAGACCAGAGGAAACCCTCAAAATGGTAAGTTGCACTCAAATTTTTGATGCTTCTAACAACCCTTATAGTATAGTAGTTTATCAGCCTGCGTACTGTACTATATGTGATAGAAGAATCAGTGTAAAGAGCGATATTCCACTAACTTTGCATATACCGACCCTCAATTTACGCGGAATATTCGTTTCGCTTGAATATTTTTTTAAATGAACTAGTGAACTTGGGTTATAATTGTATGAAATTGTAATTAGTGTAATTGAAGTGTTATTTAATAATTCGGAATTACTTGTAAACTAGAAACAAACTAAGAATTTGGAATAAGTTGGTATGCTGAGTTTTTGACATATATTTATTTGTAGTAGTTCAACAAAAGTGATATTAATTAGTCATTAAACGATATTAATTAGTCAGAATATTATTTACATTCTGAAATCACCATTCCAATATCCGCATATTCCAAAAACATATTCTGAAATTACTGTATGTCGAAATTACTATGTTTTGAAATCGCTATACATATTCTTAGAACTCAATATTTCGAAATTATTATATCCCGAAAACCTTTTGTCCCTAAGTTCCTATATTCCGATGTCACTATATCTCGAAGTGAAAATTCTGAAGTCAATATATTTCAAAATCTCTGGGTCCCGAAATCTTTACATCCCAAAATCACTATATTTTGAAATCGCCATATCTCGATATTCCTGTGACCTGAAAATCCCTAGATTTCGAATTGAGAAAGTGTTCAGATCCTGTAATCCCTGTACCGAGAATATTCCTAGATCCTAAAATCTCTATATTCAGAAAATCCATATGTTCCGAATTCCCTAAACGTCCCAAAATTCCGAAAATCCCTACAATCACGAAATCCCTAGATTCCAAAATCCCTACAACCCCGAAATCCCTAGATCCCGAAATCTCTAGACCTCTAAATTCGTGCATTAAAAAATCCCTAGTCCTGAAATTTCCATATTGAGTAAATCCCTAGATCTCAAGTTTCTAGATTTCCATGTGTCACATTCCTAAAAACATTTGTCCTCAAATATGTAAACTGCCAATTCCTATATCCATAGATTCTCAAAAGTCCCTAAAAATGTACCCCCAAATTTTGAAATCTTAAACTCCGTATAAATCAATAATTATGTCGCTGATTCATTTTACGTAAATGGAAAGCTATCAGCACAAAAGAAAAAGAAACACAATATTTATTTCAAATAGCTTAATAAAGAAAGTGCGGACGCAACAATAACACTTTTTTGTACAAGTACATATGTCATGACTAGCACATCGTAGTGTACTTTTACTCGTATTTTATACGGCACTAACGCGCTTCAACATCGCCAAATAAGTTATTGTATACGCTTGTTAAAACGCCTAGGAAAGTATATTTTCAGACCGCGTAAATCAAGCTTGCGTATAAAAACTACCGCGTAAATAACGTTATAATCTACCGCGTAAATTGAGGAACCGAGTGTGTTATACATTTTTTTGACATGGAGCAAAAGTAACTGTAATTTAATTCTTCAAGGATATTTAACACTAATGCTACCAAAACAGTCGACTCACATTTTTTTTTATAATTTACATAATTTATTAGGGTCCATTTTCATCACGTTAAAGACAGTATTAATTTATGTTTTATCGTTTGTTTATTTCTTTTGAAAGTTTATTGTTAATCCCTTGCACTATTAAGACGAGTCTTACTCGTGACGCATTCTTACTTCAGCCGTGAGCAATTTTACTCGGATTTTTAGTACACTTCAATTTGGAGTTCAAGTCCAATTATAAACATATTGACATAACATTTCAAATTTTTTTGCCTGTTTTAATATTATAGCTGTAATTAGTCAATTCTGACTGATGCACCTGACAAATAAGTCACAAGGGGTTAATTTCAAATTATCATTGTATACCGGTAGGTTTAATGTTCAAATATATGCTGCTTCAGTCTTTTTTTTTTCAATTTATCAATCAAAGATCAGATTTATGCATATTATCTTTGTTCTTTTATATTATAAATACCTTCAGGAGTTATTTATGTAATTGTTATGAATTTAAATTGAACAAAATGTCATTAGGATAAAAAGCAAAATTAATTCTAACTTGAAAAAAATTTTAAAGAGCTTAAATGATTACTGTCTCAGAACTATTTATCACGATGTAAAATATGATATTTTTCTGCTGATATATGTATTACTTCCATTGATTTTAGCACTTGATTTCAAAACGTGCATTTATAAATTTTTTATTTGAACAGCAGTGCTTACGAATTTTCATATAATAGCTACCTTAAATCGATTGATATACATTTATATTATCTCATTTTTTCTTACTAATTGATTTAATATGAATTATTTACTTGATTAAAGAAACTAATAATTGATTTTGTAACTGAGTCCAATGATTGAGTAATTAATATCAATAATTATTGGATTTGATTTATATTTGATAAATAAATAATTAAAATTTGCCTGTCAACTCTGTATTCAGTGATTTCAATATTATCAGTGAAATTTGTAATTCAAAATATTATTTTTGTTATTAATATATCATATTTTAGATCTTACAGTTAAATGTAATTTAAATCTAGCTATTGTTATTAAAGTTTATGAACAAAATTAAGCCTTGAAAATTTTTATTATAAAGGAATTAATAACACTGTACATCTTCTGGCAATCAAGTACAATTTAAATCTAATTATTATCTTATTAAATTTATGCATCAAATGAAATATTGTAAATTCCAATTGAAACGACCTGAATAACATAGTAATTTTAATAATTATAATCTAATTGAATAATCTAATTAATAATCTAAATATAATAAAAATATAATAATTAAATAATTAAAATTTAATATTTTTAGTTTAACTTAAAATGTATACAGCAATAATAAAGTAAACCTACTAATTTAGTTAAATTTATGTCTAATTATTAAATTACTATATTCTTTATATAAAATTAAATATTGTACACTTCAATTAAAATTTCATTAACAACAAAAATTTGAAAGTAATATTAAATATATTAGATTTAAATTAAAATACATAATAGTGTAAATCCACTGATTAAATCTAATTTAAGTCTAATAAATAAGTAACCAAAATTTGTTGCGGTTGCAGTTAAATATTATTGATATTAAAATATCAATGTGGTACAAGTACAAAAATTAAATCATCAAAATTTATTTTTGAAATTGAATACTACAAATTTTCTATCCAAATACATAAATAATGGTGTAAATCTGCTGATTAAATCTAATTTAAATGTAATAATAAAATAACCAGAATTTGTCTCTAAAATATACTATCAATACAACTAGAAATTAAATCATCAGTTTCTATGTGAAATTAAACGCCAAAAATTTTCTATTAAAATACATAAATGTAAGATCGAAATAATCGAGGTTGACGGATGAAGGTTTTTGGGAATAACGATAACAAAACAATTTTAATAACTTAAACAAAAGTACAGAAATCATCTACAGAAAATTATACGACAACTTTTCGGATAACGTACTACTTCGACCGTTACAACAAGACTGAACCGCGACGCGACGCCGTTTTTCTCATTCTCTCCCAATTCCCGCGTAAAAAGAAACAAAAGCCATCCGATCCTTTGTCCTCTCGCTAATTTTTGTGCCAAGTCATAGTAACGCCAAATTCTCTTGGCGCCAATTGTCCGAATCGCCCGATCGCGCCCGATCGTACCCGACGACCCCCGAACAAACCGATCCCTCATAAATTATAGAATAAATCCAATAAAATAACAAATACTAGTATTACGTTAATACCAAATATAACTACAATATGCGTTACAGTAATTATATCAATATACTCCCTTTATCAATAAACAAAATAAAATTAATTTCAAAGTAATTTCAATTCAATACGTATTTGCTTCGTTACTCCGATAACAAGGTACCAAACGATTTTAATTCACCGTTTATTACGAAGTTTTGACGCGACATTATATTTTTATATCAGTGACCTGCTTTGTTATTAAAAAAAAAGTTTGTAATTTATTATCGTTTGTATATCGGTTAATCGTGCGCAATGGATCGAGACACGTCCATGACATTTTACACGAAGTAAAGTTCAAGGATATAAATCTATTTTATCCGGATCGATACCTCGGGACTGAGAATCGTTTGCCAATTCCAGGTTCTCGAAATTGGCAGCTGTGTTCTTATCGAGCCACGTGTTTTTGATGTTATATTCTCATCATTGACGTTAACTCCTCGATTTAGATGTACTACAGATACACTGAATTTCCAGTTCACCGTGACTGATGGAGAACGAATTGACCTAAATAAAAACAACTTACATAATCACTTCTCTAATTTCACATGAAATTGCTTGTTCTTTCATTTTAACGAGTTAGATTGCTTCTTATTTTAAATTTTGACTAATTGCAAACTTGACAAACTTGAAATATTTGTAGGGTAAATGAAATTGCAGGGTAAATGAGTGTTTACAGTGTTAACTGATTTTTGTATAATATAAAACTTGAAATATTTGTAATTGTGGAGTAAATACAGAAATCAGATACAAAATATGAAATATTTTAATATAAATATAATTTCAATATATCTTTTAAAAAATTTAAATATTAAAAAATATTTGAAAAATTTTTAAATATAAAATATTGTAATATAATTTTAAATTAGAGACATTTAATCAATTTTATCAGTTTTAATTTTTAAATTTCAGAATATTTTTAAAAAAGAGAGATTATTATATTTCTTTAAAATTGACATCACATAGGAATTTCATTAAAACCGATTCAGGCATATTACTTGAACGATGTCCTTTATTCTTGTTTTACTTATTGTTAGAGTATGAAATATTTCTTCAAATTTTATATCACATCAGAATTTAACACTAAACCTACCAGCATATAATATGTACTTAATCTGAAATTAAAAATCAACTTAAAAAATAAATAAATAAACGAAACATAAATTAGAATTCACATTCATTCTTTATCTCAATAAAAATCAATGCTGATTTCAAGAAATGTACTTTA